CTGTTCCTAAATGTACACATCTTAAAAAAAACAAATGCACTAATAAGAGTGGTACTCTGCTGGTGAAAAATAAACAGAAGACTACTCATGTGCATCATATCCCACAATTAATTTATGATGCTAGCGGAGCTGTAAGAAAACAGCTGGATATGCACAGGGTACAAGCATAACATGGCTTGGACATGTCGTGGCCTAATCTACCTTAGCTAGTAGCAATGGTGCTGCTTCTGAATGGCCTTGCTTATTCAGTGTTTTTAATTATTGTGCAGACTTTAATCCTAATTTAACGAACCTCATCTGGCTCTCAAATGAAATGTACTACAGCTCAAAAAGCAGCAGCTTTCTTTGCTTAAGCCTTCCGCCCTAACAAATCAAGTGCCCATTCAATCTGCAGGCTGCAGTTTCAAGTAATCACAAGGCAAAACAAGCACAAGAGAGTAGCCTGAACCCTGCAAGCCAAATTGTATTCCTCACACCTGAACCCACAGTGTCTTGAACAATGTTCAACATCACCAGTGCAGACGTATCGTATCAAACAGATCGTCCAAATTCTAAACATTAACAAATTCAATTTTCGTTGCTCCCACCGAATATACGACCTTAATACCGACAGAGTTGCATAAAGTAAGAAACGCAGAGACATGAAAGCAATACCTCTCGCCTTTGAGGTTGTCGTCGACGCCTCCGTCATCCCCAAGATCCTCCTTCGATGTTCCGCTCGCTTAAGCTCTGAAAACAACATGCACCATAGTACACAGAGGAAACACAACATTAAGCAGTCAGCAGTCCATAACTACCATATACACATCGAATCTGATCCGACGAAGCAAGAAAGATTCAAAATCTACTCACCGTGTCGTGATTGTCCTGGTTGATCAGGAGTCCAGGAAGGCTTCCCCGAGCTGGCTTTGGCACATGAGCGAATCTTGAAGCAGAGAAACACCAGAAGAAACAGATCATCGCCATGCCAATCAAAAATGAGAGGTCTAGTGAAGATCAAAGAAACACCACAACAACCTATTCGACTATATCTCTTCTTTAATAATTTCTTTTCTTCTTTGTAATTCTAATTAGTCAACATGGCAGAAGGATTTATCCCTATTTAATCTTACATTAATATCAAAATTTACGGTTGGCATATATGTTAATACCCCCAGCCTAAAATCTGAGAAGAGCAAAAAAAACTGAGAAAGTTCCCTTGGTTATTCTAAGTTTCCGTTGAACTGGCGAAATCATCTGTAGGTAGTTCAAGTTTTACGCCGCATACAAGAACTGAACGTCCACGGACACCTGACAAATGTAGGACATGTCAGGCAAGCAACAATATATTGAGGATGAAAAAAATGCTTATCGATACATGAGTTGACAAACCAATCATATACCTTCATATTTAACAACACAATTATGCAAGAAAGATGTTAAGCCTGGAGAGCTCTTCAACTGAATGAAAAACAGCAAGTCTGCATATCAATTAACAACAGAAGAGACAGATTGTTAGGAAATCCAGCAGCAAACAAAAAAACATGCTGCTAATTCTTAATATCATAAACCTGTAAGATTGTATCCACGAAGTCATGTCAGTAATTATTACTCCAAATCAGTATACCACCGCCATAGTACTACACCGTCTAATTACCTATACAATTAACAGACTAAAGAAAATCATTTCAACATGAATTAGACGAACCATACAGAACTAATTAAGGGATATTTAAGGTGTAAATGCAGGTACATACATCTGGTTATAGAAGTCTCTATTACAGTACTCTCTTTCACAGCTTGATTACAGATCTAAGCTTCTATATATTAACAAATATATTTCTTCAATTCAGAGGCAGAAAAAAGAGAGCACTCATTCAGTTACCATTTTCTAACCTTTACATCCTCACTCCTCTTCCATGAAAAGCATGCTAACTGAATAATATTAGTACTCCCTGTCATAAGAATGATGTTAGTTAGATACCAAGAAATGTCAGGTTGCTGGATTAGTTCAAGGGACACTTTAGATAGCCAAAATAACAATAGCACGCACGCATCAGATTCCTCACTGTTTTTGCGTGGCTGACTGACTGTAGAGAAGGTTATGGAGGATTGTGTGATCTCACCTGAGAGGACCTCCCTTTGTTGCCGTGCGCGACGAAGAGGGGTGCGGAAGGAGGCGGCTGCGTGTGACGAAGATGTTGCGGGGATGGAGACGGCAGCGTTGACTAGAAGTGAGGGGGGAGAGGGGGGAGATGCGATGGTCGGTGATGCTCTCCCATCCGCCGCTGCAGCTCCCTCTCCTCGTTCCTCTCTTTCTCCCTCCTCTCCTTCCTTCTCCCTCTCTCTCTCCTGAAGGGACCAGTCCATTAGGCTGGATCAAATCGAGCGCCCCCGACGTAGCCCTTGGCCTGCAGGTCGCCGCCGCTACTGGAGACGCCCGCCACCGTGCCCGCAAGCCTCTGATCCGGCGGGATCCCCGAGAGAGGAGGGAGTGGTGCGAGCGACGCCCGCTTGCCACCTCGACGTGATGAGAGAGGTGGCGTGGAGATGAGGACATGAACGTGGGACTCGATCCTTCGTGTGGTAGCGGCTAGCGTCGCGGTCGATGGCGCCCCTGCCGCCCACTTTCATGGATCGAGATTGAGAAGAGAAAGGGGAAGGAGATAGGTCACATAGAGGGGGAGGGGGACTGGGATGGGGAGATGAGGCGGCGTGTTGTTGGGGTCGAGGGCTCGAGACGGGAGATGAAGCACGAGCACCGGTGAGGCTGGCGGCGGCGGCGGAGAGAAGAGAACGAAGGCTGTGAGCGAGAGGTGCGAGGGATGTGTTGTTTCTGTCCTCTTTGACACACTAAAATGCGACAGTAAAACCTGCGGACGTGGCACTCATGAGCGGGCGCCCATGCCGCGACTGTTAAAGGGTTCAATGTGTTCTTTAAGCTGCGACACATGGAAGATCCGCAGGAGTCCTCTTCATAAAATTTTAAAGAACATCCATAGATGCACCACCTCACCGTGAACTCGCATCCAAGCCGTCGCTGCCAACATGCTCGCCCGCCGCGCCGCCGGACCCGCGCTAGCCCAACACCTCGTGATCTGGCCGTCCCGCACCGCCTGAGACGCTCAGAGGGGGGAGAAGCCCCGCCGCTGCCCTGCGAGCCAGGCTTTGCCCGGTGCTGCTGCAGACGGTGGCTAGGAGGGAAGGTGGGCGGACGGGGTCGAGAAACGGCGGCTAGTGTTTCCCCCTAGGTCGCCCACGAGGCAACAAGAGGGGTCGAGAAGAAACCCTAAAGCGATACATAACTAGAAAGAATTAGGACGCTAATAAGGAGCTGACGTACGTTTCAACTGCGGCTAGTGTTTCTCCTCGGGTCGCCCACGGGGGCAACACGAGGGGTCGAGCAGAAAACCTAAAGCGATATATAACTAGAAAGAATTAGGACGCTAATAAGGAGCTGACCTACGTTCCCTAGAGAGGATCCTGACATGAACTATTTAATGGGGAGCTCCACAAGTCCACAAATTGTAGTGACAAACTGACTTTTCACAGATCATATAAGTTGATAAAGAGCTGAAAATAAGGTTAAAAAAATCAGGGCTCCATGGAGCTTGGCCATGGAATGCACTTTTCGATGCATGTGAAGCCATTGCAGGAGCTAAGAGCATCTCTAACAGCCGCGCCAAAAGGCGCACACGTGCGGTAAACTGGGTTTTTAGCGCGCGCGGGACGTTTTCGTGCGCTCCAGCAGTGGCGGAAAACTAGCGCGCGGGAAAGGATTGCGCGCGCGCGAGAAAAGGCGGCAGTTCGCGCGCTATAAATTGCGGCGCTCGCCACACGGCTATCCATACTGCCACGCGCGCCTCCCCCGCTTCCTCGTAGCTTCCTTTGCTTCCTCGCCGCTCTAGCGCCCCACCACCGACGCGTCACCATGCGGCCGCGCCGCCGAGGAGTGTCGGGCTACCGCGGCGTCCGCCAGCGCCCCAACGGCTGGTACTACACCGAGATCCGGTCCAGCGATGTCTGGCTCGGCCTCGGCACCTTCCAAACTGCACATGAGACTGCCCGTGCGTACGACGCGGCGGCGTGGCGCCTAGACAGGGCGCGCACGTAGATGAACTTCCAGGACGTTTACACGCGCCAGCAGGCGCAGGGCGTCACCCCTCCGCCTCCTCTTATCACGGACCAGAATCGTGCGGAGCACACTCGGCGGCAGTGCCGCCTCCTCATCGTCGGGGAGGACGAGCAAGGCATGGCGGAGTGGCGCCGGCGCCACCCGGAGGACGTCGCCAACGAGCAAGCCTACTGGGCGGACAGGACGACAAAGCGCCGCGCGGATCGGTTGGAGAGGCGTCGGCGGAAGGCCTTGGCGCTATCGCAGTGCGATATCGTTGAAAATGTTGGGCAGTCGATCTTTTCGGCTAATGATCCTCGTTGGGACGACATGTAGCTCGATACCTCGGACCAGGCCAACGATGATGATGATGATGATGATGATGATGATGATGATGATGATGATGATGATGATGATGACGACGACTGGCAGTAGGTTGCAGTTGCACTATCTAGTAGTTTTTTTATGTCGTTGCACCGTAGTTTTATCTATCTATGCTATGAAACTATGTATCGTTTTTATTTATGAATTTTATTTAGTATCTTTTTATTTAAAAATATGTACGCAATGTGCGTGCGATAGCGCGCGCTCATTTTAGCGCGGCTGCTGGAGCTACGCGCGCGCTAAATTTTAGCGCGGCTGCTGGAGCCAGCGCTGCCCGCCGCATTTTTTCAGGCGATGGACGCGCTGCAAACTATTTTTTAGCGCGCTACACGTTAGGCGGCTGTTGAAGATGCTCTAAAGAATTCAGATGCGACTCTTAACTGGTGTAAGCACGGTGGAGCGGCTGATGGTATACAGCTAGTGATACATCCATAGATCAGCACAGGCGTGCAATGACCATATGCCACTGCATACACTGATCTCTTATTCGAGCACAACAACACTTGGGCCTAGCATTTATCGGTCAGCCGCTGACGCAGTTGGCCTCGCAGTCGCTGTTGCAGGCATCGGTGCACCGCGCGCGGGCCCTGTCCCAGCATTTGTGGCAGGAGTCGACCGCGTAGAAGGAGTAGACGCACTTCTCCTTACACTGGCGCATGGCGCCGTCGCCGCAGGCATTGGCACATACACTGGGGCAGTCGCACTCAGCGCAGTTCCTGGGGCAGCCCTCGTTGCAGCTGGGCAAGCAGACTCGGAGGACCTCGGACTTGCAGGGCTCGCAGTCCGGCGTCGCGCCGCTGCAGGCATTTCCGCAGCCCGCCGCGGCAACGTAGGCATCGCAAATCGACGCCGCCTGACACCGTGAGTCACAATCCTGGCATAGTATCACGGACGCCGGAGCCGGGGCCGGAGCCAGCGCCGGAGCTGGAGCTGGAGCCAGAGCGGGAGCCGGAGCCGGAGCTCGAGCCTTCCGACATGCTAAGGATGGCAGGACCAAAACGGCCAAAACGGCGGCGAGTAGGATGGCCATCCTAAATGCGGATGCATGTGAAGCCATTGCTGGAGCTAAGAGATAAAGGTATCTAAGATTAAGACGCGGCTCTTAATTGGTGTAAGTACCATGGAGATGGCGATGCTATTTATATGCGCGTCACGCCTCACACTGAGAAGACCCAGCTCGCAGTGCATAGGAGACCCAGCCAAGCTAGATTCGGAGTTACGAGGGGAGACTTGCAGTGCATAGATCTCGATCCGCATTCTGAATGCCACACGATACACACGAATTACGAGGGGAGACTTGCACGTTACCATGCATGTTACAAGGTTGACATGGAGGGAACAGAGTATACAGTACTCCCTTCTTGACCGGGTCCATTCCTCCCATATACTACATCGTGCTACCCCAGTACTGGCATCCAAAGCAAAACAAAATACTGTCATTTCAACAGATAATGGCATGCTGAAATGGTAGCTAAGTGAAAATGGATAATTTTCTATTCATATCGCGCATGATGCTTTATTAGATACTATGAAACCGTTAGAGTATGAGGACGGAGCGTCGACCCGTTAGCTGGGCAGCTGAGGTTGCTGCAAGCCCACCCGAGTTCGAGTCCCGGCTCGAACGCGTGGTGCTCGCGGAGTTTCTTCTATAAAAAAAATGCCAACGAGGGTTAGTTCTTGGGTTGGTCTCATTTTGTACTCTCGAAAAACCATTAGAGTATCTCCTACAGATGATGTATAATAGGGTAAAGCATCATTTTAACAAAAAAGAATGTTCTCTAATAGATGATGTATCTCCAAATTCTGATGCTATTTTTTTAGGGCAAATCAATATTTTGGCACCAAGTGCTACAAATATAGAGCAGCCACACGACCTGCGCATTTTTTTAGGGAAGCGAGGGACCACAAGAAAATGGCCATTTTACATCACTTTGTGCCAAAAACGCTGTGTGTCCAATTGTTAAGTATATGCAAAACATAGCCGTGATGTATTTTAGGACACTACTTTTACATCATCTCATCTGCCATGGCAGAAAAAAAAATGTTGCCAGAACCTTCTCTCTCCTGCCATATTTTTTTGGACGCTCTATTTTGCGTCTCTTGGAGGTGCTCTTATGGAAATGGCATCCCCAACGCTAACTCCCAAAACGGACATCATAATTGTCTGCAAACATGAATATAGGAGTCGGCCATCCAACCATATCCCCTAAATGCCCGCTCCTGTTTTTTTCCCTTAAAGTCCGCAACTCTAAAAATAATTATAGAAATAACACAATTCATTCATAAATAATATACAAATATCCCTAGTTAGTTTAAATATAAATAGTATATCCTACATAACAGGATGTTTAACAAGTTCTCTGATCCATCGACTCGAATTCAACGATATTCGAGTCTCGTCCCATGCACTGTGCCCCTTGAGCTTAATTCAACAATGTATGAACGTAAATGGTTTGCCCTCCGTCCTGTAGTACAACACAACCGCGCGTCCAGTCTCTACAACATGATGATTATCGAGTTGCACACATCGAGTGAATCAATGAATTTACCAACATGTAACGCAACAAGAAGCAAACCTTATGGTCTATATGGTTGACGAGTCCAGTGGCCACATTATCTCCACTCGTGCAACCACACCACAAATTAAACTCCGTGACGAAGTTGGAGATGGTGTACCACAGATGGCCTAGAGACTTTAAATGTGATCATGAATCACGTGCAAGTCATAGGCGCAAAATGCTTTTGGTCATGATACAAAGAATGCAATTTTTGCCAAAACGTCGACTCCCCTTGCCCCATGCCTACAAACTCCGCAAATACAACCTTCCACGCACCAAGCAACAACAAGAAGGTCAAAAAATCTCAATGAAAATTGACCGAACACGTGCCTGGCGTGGTATCCGCCATTGATGGCGTCGGTAGAGGGCAGATAGTACCTGGCTGCGGACGGATCCTAGGTGGAGGGCGGTGTGGTCCAAGGTGGGTAGACACGTGGGGTGGAGGATGCAGACGTCCAACAATGCCTTGGCGGTGGCCAGAGAGGTGCAACGACGGCATTAGATGAGGAGGGTGTGGATGTAGAGCAAAGGGGGAGCAACGATTGAGTGGAAGAAAAATGGCTCAGTAGGGGAATTTGACTGGGCCGGGGGTGCCGGAGTCCTACATGCCAAAGGTCCGGACTCCAGCAAAGTCTGCGTCCGGTTTGTGGAATTCGGACAAGCAGACACCTCCATGGATCGATGAGTTACCATGTTGAATGACAAACTACATCGGACAGTTTGGTCATTTTGAGGGTCCGCGTTAAAGATGCCCTAACTCAGAATCCATTGACTTACTGAGATAGATCGTTCTTTGCTTTATCCACAGAAAAGCAGCAGGATACACCTGCATTGACCATATGCCATTCATGGAGGTATATACAGATAGTACTCCAGTAATAGTGTAATACAGTACGTACATCTATAGATGCACAAAGCAGCAGGCATACGTGTGCAATGATCATATACCGCTGCATGCACTCATATCTTATTCGTATACATATGGAGTACAAACCACCTTACACTTGGGCCCACTAGGATTATCAATTAGCCGCTGCCACAGTTGGCTTTGCAGTCGCTGTTGCAGGCATCGGTGCACCGCGTGCGGGCACTGTCCTGGCATTCGTGGCAATACTTGACTGCATAGTAGGAGTAGGCGCACTTGCTCTGACATGCGCGCTGGGTGGCGTCGCCGCAGGATTTGTTGCATGGGCCGGTGCAGTCGCACTGGCCACCGCAGTTCCTGGAGCAGCCCTCGTTGCAGCTGGCTGTGCAGGACTGGAGGCCCTCTGACATGCAGGGTTCGCAGTCCGGCGTCGCGCCGCTGCAGGCATTTCCGCATCCGGCCGCGGCGACGTAGGCGTCGCACATCGACTTCGACTGACACCGCAAGTCACAATCCTGACATAGTATTGCAGATGCCGGAGCCGGGGCCGGAGCCAGCGCCGGACCTGGACTTGGAGCCAGCGCAGGAGCCGGAGCGAGAGCCTTCCGACAAGCTAAGGATGGCAGGACCAACGCGGCCAAAACGACGGCGAGTAGGATGGTCGTCCTGCAAGCAGATGCCGCCTGTGAAGCCATTGCTGGAACTAAGAGATCAGGATGGTATCTAAGATTAAGAGGCGACTCTTAATTGGTGTAAGTACCATGGAGAGGACGATGCTATTTATATGCACGCCACGCCTCACACTGAGAAGACCCAGCTCGCAGTGCATAGGAGTCCCAGCTAAGCTAGATTCGAAATGCATAGATCTCGATCCGCATGCTAAATGCAACATGTTACGCGCGAATTACGATGGGAGACTTGCTCGTTACATGCATGTTACAAAGCTGACATGTAGGGAGCAGAGTATACAGTATTATTTTCTTGACCCGGTCCAGTCCTCCCATATGCATCCATGCATGTTGACCAACATATAATGCTATTGGTATCCAAAGCAAAACAGAATACTGTCATTCTTTTTGCGGGTGAAAATACTCTCATTTCAACAGATGATGACATGCTAAATGGTACTCTCTCAGTTTTAAAATAGATGACCCAACTTTGTATTAAAGTTAGTACAAAATTGAGTCATCTATTTTGAAACGGAGGGAGTCGCTGAGTGGAAATGGATAATTTTCTATCCATTTCGCGCACAAGACTTTATTAGAGACTATGGAACCGTTAGAGTATTTCCAAAAGATGATGTATAATAGGGCAAAACAGCCTTTTAGGGCATTTGAACCAAAAAAACGTTCTCTGGTAGATGATTAGATGATGTATCTCCAAATTCTGATGCAATTTTTTTAGGTAGACCAATATTTTGGCCCAAGTGCTACAAATATAGAGCAGCCGCACGACTGTCACATTTTGTTAGGGCAGCAAGGGACCACAAGAAAATGGCCATTTTGTATCACTTTGTGCTAAAAAAAACTAGATCCAATGGTTAAGTGGATGCAAAACACAGTTGTGATGTATTTTAGGACACCACTTCTTCATCATCTACCACGGCAGGAAAAAAAATGATGCCAAAAAGCCTTCTCTCTCCTGCCCTACTTTTTTTTGGACGCCCCATTTCGCATCTCTTGGATATGTATTATGAACTAACAACATCACCAACATCGACCCTTAAAACAGACACCGTATTTGTTTGCACACATGAATATGGGAATTGGCCATCCAACCCTATCCCCTAAATGCCTGCTCCTATTTTTTCCTTAAAGTTCGCAACACTTAAAATAATTATATAAAAAATAGCACAATTCATGCATAAATGACATGCAAATATCCCTATAGCTAGTACAACAATAGTTAAAATTTAAATATTACATCCGACATAACTGGATATTTAACATATTTTTCGATTCATCGACTCCGAGTTCAACGATACTCGACTCAGAATCGGCAGATAGCGTCCCAACACTGTGCCTCTTGAGCTTCATTCAACAATGTATGAACGTAATTGGTCTACCCTCGGTCCTGCGGCAGCGCGTTCAGGCTATACAACGTGAGGATTATGAAGTTGCACACATTCAGTGAATCAATAAATTTACCAACATGTAGAGCAACAAAAAGAAAAACTAATTATCTTCATGGTTGACGAGCCTGGTGGCCACATTGTCTTCACTTGTGCAACCGTACCACAAAACTTCATGACGAAGTTGGAGATGACGTACCACAGATGGCCTAGCGACTTCACATTGCGGTCATGGATCACATGCAAGTCGTAGGGCGCGAAGTGCTTTTGCTCATGGAACGAATAATGCAACTTTTGCCAAGACGTCGAGCCCCCATGCCTCATGCCTATAAAGTCTGCAAATATGACCTTCCAGGCACCAAACAACAACTCCTCCATTCGCAGAGTACTCCGCCATCGCTCTTTGCTCTAGAAACAATAAGAAGGTCAAAAAAACCTCAATGGCATTTGATTGAACACGTACCGGGCGTGGTGTCCGCCATTAAGGGCATCGGTAGGGGGCTGAGGGTACCTGGCTGCGGACGGATCCTGAGTGGACAGTGGCATAGTCCAAGGCGGGCAGACACGTGGGTGGAGGATGCATGCATCCAACAATGCCTTGGCGGTGAGCAGAGAGGTACAACGACGACATCGGATGAGATGAGCGAGGATGTAGAGCAAGAGGAGAGCAGTGGCAGTGGAAGAAAGGTGGCCTGGAAAAGAGATTTGAGTGGGCCGAGGGTGCGGAGTCCTACATGCCGGAGGTCCGGGCTCCTGTAAAGTTTGCGTCTGGTTTGTGGAATTCGGACAAGCGGACGCCTCCATGGATCGATGAGGTACCACATTGAATGACAAACTACATCGGACAGCTTGGTCCGGACATATATGGGCGTATTCAGGATCCGCGCTAAAGATATCCTAACTAGAATCCATTGACTTACTGAGATAGATCATTCTTTGCTTTATCGACAGAAAAGCAGCAGGATACACGTACGTTGACCATATGCCATCCATGGAGGTATACAGATAGTATTAGTAATAGTGTAATACATCTATGGATGCACAAAGCAGCAGGCATACGTGTGCAATGATCATACACCGCTGCATGCACTTATCTTATTCCTATACCATATACATGGTGGGGGTACAACAACACCTTACACTTGGGCCTACTAGGATTATCGATCAGCTGCTGACACAGTTGGCCTTGCAGTCGGTGTTGCAGGTATCGGTGCACCGCGTGCGGGCACTGTCCTGGCATTCGTGGCATGATTTGACCGCGTAGTAGGAGTAGACGCACTTGTACTGACATGTACTCCGGGCGCCTTCGCCGCAGGCTTGGCTGCATGAGCCGGCGCAGTCGCACTGGCCAACGCAGTTCCTGGTGCAGCCCTCGTTGCAGCTGGCCGTGCAGGACTGGAGGACCTCGGACATGCAGGGCTCGCAGTCCGGCGTCGTGCCGCTGCAGGCATTTCCGCACCCCGCCGCGGCAACGTAGGCATCGCACATCGAAGCCGATTGACACCGCGAGTCACAATCCTGGCACAATAGCATGGGCGCCGGAGCCGGGGCCGGAGCCGGAGCCGGAGACAGAGCCAGAGCCGGGGCCGGAGCTCGAGCCTTTCGACAAGCTAAGGATGGCAGGACCAACACGGCTAAAACGGCGGCGAGTAGGATGATGGTCGTCCTACAAGCAGATGCATAAGCCATTGCTGGAGGCTGGAGCTAAGGATGGCGGTGAGTAGGATATCTAATTAAGATCAAGACGCGACTCTTAATTGGTGCAAGATGGAGAGGACGATGCTACTTATAGGCACGTCCCGCCTCACATTGAGAAGACCCAGCTAAGCTAGATTCGCAATGCATAGATCTCGATCTACATGTTGAATGCACCATGTTAGGCACGAATTACGAGGGGAGACTTGCACGTTACAAAGTTGACATGGAGGAAGCAGAGCAGTGTACAGTATATATTACTACCTTCGTTCTTAAATATTTGTTTTTTTAAAGATTTCAAATGGACTACCACACACGGATGTATATAGACATATTTTAAAGTGTAGATTCATTCATTTTGTTACGTATGTTGTCACTTGTTGAAATCTTTAAAAAGACAAATATTTAGGAACGGAGGAAGTATTTTCTTGTAGGGGTGGACTAACGAGCAGCTCGGCTCGTTAAGCTCGTACTCGTTAAGCTCGTGCTCGTTAAGACTCGGCTCGTTAAGCTCGTTAAGATTAACAAGCAGAAAATCATGCTCGGCTCGGCTTGTTTGAAACTCGTTAAGCTCGTGAGCGCTCGTGAACAGATTATAATATGTTACGATATACAGGATGAATGTGTAAGTATGGTTTTCAAGATGAAATATGATGACTACAAAAAAAATGTAGTAGTTTATTGCCTCATATATCGATTAGATTAAATAGATTGGCTAAGTTTCTACAAAAGTTTATCACGTAAGATAAGAATATGTGTTGTGTTGTTACTAACGAGTTTAACGAGCTACTCATGAAACTCATTAGCTCGCTCATTAAGCTCGTTAGCCTTAACGAGCTGAAATCAATGATTGGTTCTGTTCATGAAGAAGCGAGCTACGAGTTTAACGAGCCGAACTATCTAGCGCTTATTAAGCTCACGCGTTACCAGCTTTTGGTCCAATCCTATTTTCTTGACCGGGTCCATTCTTCCCATATACGGAGTACTACATCCATGCATGTTGACCAACATATAAATGTTACTGACATTCAAAGCAAAACAAAATACTGTCATTTTAACAGATGATGACAGGCTGAAATGGTAGCTAAGTGAAAATGGTGGCATCCATTGGTGGTGGGCCGGTGGCGAGAGATACTCTTACGGACGGCGTTTCCTATTTAATGCCGCAGACGCTCGTTTGAGTGCATTTCGCAAACTGGCGCCTGCAGCGCCCCATGCTGGGCCGGCCCATGTAGAGGGTGCCTGAGGTATTTCTCTCTATTATTTTCGAACGCAAAAAGGTGACAGAACCAGGATTCAAAAGAGCGACCACTTGGTTTAGCGGGGAGTGATCAAACCACCAGGCAACCCCACCGCGGGTTTACAAGTATGTCTCTTTTATCATTTTATTTACGTTCGTCACGTTCGTGAAAGCCCCAATTTTGGGAAGCTTCTAGAAGCTTCCCACACTAGTTTTTCCCGGTTTTGTGATTTGGTTTATGGATGGTTTTACTTTTTATCATTTCCTTTTTAAATTTCTTTAAAAAACTCAAAACTGATGAACTTTTTCTAATATTCGATGAACTTTTTCCTAAACTAGACAAACTTTTTTTCAAATTAGTGAACTTTTTTAAAATTATATAACCTTTTAAAAAAATCTATGAACTTTTACCAAATTCAGTGAACGTTTTTTAAAAAAACTCGATGATTTTGTTTTCAGATTCAATGAAAATTTTCAAATTCAATGAACTTTCTTAAAATTTGATGAACTATTTTTCAAATTCCTTGAACTATGTTGTCTTTCGTGAACTTTTTTCAAAATTTTATGAACTTCTTCAAATCCGTGAACTATTTCCTCAGATGAGTGAACTTTTTTCAATTTTTTGTGAATCTTTTTGATTACGTGAACCTTTTACTTTTTTTAACAAACTCGTGAACTTCTTTTTTTTTGTTCGTGAGCTTTTCCTTTTCTGGAACAATGCGGCGTCAATTGTTTCTTTAGTATTCCGGGGCACTATTGGTAAGTTGTGCCTCGTAGCTGTACTGGTTAGTCTGGTCATGCGGCAATGCCACGAGGCGACACTACTAGGGAAAAGCGTAGCAGCAGCGCGGATTTTGGGTGTATCAGTAGCGCGGGTGCCCACACTACTGATACGGCCCCACAGCTAACTTGTAGCAGTATCGCTACTGCTATACATGGTTAGCTGTACCGTGCGTTGCAGACAGCGCTACTGCTAATTATCTGTAGCGGGTCTTATACCCCGCGCTGCTGCTATTACTTTCAAAAACAAAAAAATATCTCGATCCCGTGCGTGTTGTCAATGGAAGCACTGGTTCGATCTAGCGACGGTTGGCGTCGCCAGAGGCATGAACGGACAGCGGAAGACTAGATCCGACGGTGGCTGTTGGAGAGGGCCCGTTTCTATGGCAGAGCCAGGCCGCAGCGTGGGGCTCCTCTTCCCGACCAAGCCAGATAGCTCTGGGTCATCCATGGCGACGACCTGCACAGGCATGGACATGGAAGGGTGAGTCAAACAAGAGGAAGAGAGAGAAAAGGAAAACCGAGGGAGATAGGAAGGTGATGGAGGGAGCAGCGGAGCTAGTCACCGGTGGTGAGGTGCTCCGGTGTGGTGGCGTGGGGCGGCGGCCTCCTAGACGTCGGTGGAAGACCGGCGAGCTCCTAGACGCCGGTGGCACGAGGCGGTGGCCTCTTTCGGCGCCACGGAGGAGGAGGGGCGCATGGGCAAGAGGTCCATGTGAGAACGTATGGAAAGTGAGAAGAGAGAGTGGCGGGAGAGAGGAGGGATTTGGGGGAGGAGATGGGGATTCGGTCGAGGATATGGCGACTTCACCTACCTCGTACTTAGTAGTAGCGAGGGGTATAAACCTGCGCTACTACTGTCAACTTAGTAGTAGCGCGGGTTTATACCCCTCGCTACTACTATGTCATGTCTCGGGGGGCACGGTAGAGACCGCTTAGTAGTAGTGAGGGTTAAAAACCCGCGCTACTACTATCAACTTAGTAGCAGCGAGGGGTAAAAATCCGCGCTACTAGTAAGTAGCAGTAGCGAGGGGTAAAAACCCGCGCTACTAGTAAGTAGCAGTAGCGAGGGGTATAAACCCTCGCTACTAGTAAGTGTCCGCCTATAAGCTTTTTCCTAGTAGTGCGAGTTTGAATCCTTGCTTCAACAAATTTTGTTTTAGTATTTTTTTGGTTGTCGCAGCGCGGTACTGGGCCGACTGGCCAGGGCGCTGATGTGGGCGCCAATTGGGTTCGGTGGCGCTGAAGGCGCCCTACAGGGGTTCCCCTTACGGACTCCTCCTGCGTGCCCTCCACTAATTGCCCCCCTGATTTTCACTGGTGGGCCCGCCTCATTATACCAAATCTCTGCCAAGCACTGCTAACCACTCCGTTAAACCCCTGTAAACAGCCCGTGAATCTAGCATCTCTCGGTGGTGAGGGAGGGAGGTGCGGGATGAATGTGGGGGAGCTAGGGTTTCTGTGATGAGGAGTCCGCACCATAGCTTTTTAGGTTAATATTTTGGCATGTTGAATCTTACATGAATAAAATGTGTGATGTGTAATATAAAGTTGTTGCATGGACGAACCTCACGTAAATATTCAAAAACAAGCTTTCAAAGGACTAAAAATTCCAACCATGAACTTTTGTCAAATCCGTGAACTTTTCTCAAACTCATGATCTTTTTTTTCAAACTCGCAAACTTTTCTTAGAATATTGTGGACTCTTTAAAATCCACGTGTTTTCCTAAATCATGAACTTCTTCTCAAATACGTCAAATTTTCAAATTCCATTTTTTTTCAAATTCATTATATTTTTTCAAATATATAAACATTTTTTTGTATCCGCATTTTTTTCAATTTCGTAAACGTTTCCAAAATCTCGGATCTTTTCGTAAGTAACCCATTAACAATCAACGGTCAATGTGGGAAGAGTAGTTCAGAATCGATTCTAGCAGGAATATGTTTGAGATTCTGATTTTGAAAGGTCTAGAATTTGAGAATCAGTAGCTACAGCCCAAACAAATGCCCCGCACTTCCTTTTTTTTTTGCGAAACATAGCATAAACAATTCATGCAATATAATAAAATGTGGCCGTATGCATCGCCCAGATGCAGAGGCCGGGGGTCATCCTCCTTTTCTAAAAAAAATGCAATATAACAAAATACAAACATTGCCTTATCCATGATGGATAAACTCATGTATCTTCTCAAAAGGAGTTCCCCCATTACATCGAATATTGACGGGTGCGGCATGGCCTGCCTTTATGGTCTAGGTTATTTGGACTTTTCTTTTCTTCTTCTTTAGAGCATGCAAATTGTAGCGCCAGTTGGGCCTAACATGTGGGGTTTGCACACCGGGCAATTTGCTTTACACTCGTCTCGTGTACGATAGCATGGAACATCCGGCCGCGTAAGGCAGCACATGCATTGGTCCCAAGAAATTTTGTCGCTTTTGGTCTTACAATCCCGTTCGGCACAAAATTTCAGGGTAAGCCTGCTCTCATCTAATGACGAGTGTAATATAGGATCGTTAGCACTTGAGTTGGCATGATGGTCTCCGTGGCTCCTTCCATCCATGAGGCGGCCTATTATTTGCAATGTGTTTGTCAGTGCACCAAACATAAAATTATACACCTGATGGAGAAAATACATGCAAGAGTTCTCCTTTCTTACACTGCCCAATCACTACAAGATAGCCGACGCACAAAAGAGCAACCATGAACACCAAGCTGCTCCCCTTCATATCTGAGCTTTATCTATTGTTGGATGAAGTTTTCTATGTGAGAGAGCACGAAAGTGTAGCTGGCAATGAGATCTATATATATAGACTACGAGATATATACGTAATCAATAACAAGATTGAGACTTATCTCTTGCTTCGATATATATAGAGTACGTGATAATGCATAATTAATAAAAAGATTGACAAAAGCCAATTTGACATGTTTTCTCTTTGCATGTAAAGATAGAAAAAAATGAAAGAATTAATTATT